TAAGCAGTTTGTTTATAGGACTTAAATTCTATTCTATTGTGCACTTCTTCATGTGTACAGCACCAGTTAACTACAATGTGCATCATCTGCTGGGTGCTTCGGATTGTTTTGAAAGAACAGCTTAAAACATAGAAAAGCAAGTCAACAGTAAATTTACTTGTGTTTATAATCTTGCATAAGGCTCCCTTTGTTGTAATTACAAATTAATAAAATAAAATAAAACAGCAAAATCAAAACAAGTTATGTCAGGGTCGTAAGACATTCTTTTAACAGATTAGTAGCACTAGTAGCATGACTTCATTATAGGGCCAAATAATGGCCCAAATAATTCAGATGTGTTACACTGACATGTCTCTCTTTTTAGTATTCGGAAGTGTTATCTTTGTTTTTAAGCCACAAAAATTGTAGCCTAAAATGAATTTCATTAGCAAAAGACAAAATAGTTACCGTTACAAAAGATACAAGAGTTACTGACAACATATGGAAAATGCAAAAAAAACAAATAATAAATAAATAAATTATAGTTCAGTCACTTAATGCATCATAAATTCTTGCCAGGCATCAATATCACCTCCCCTTAGAGCAAAACAAACTGTGGCCCTTTCCACATGGCTACTGAAGCTAAAAGAGCAGAAATGGCTCAGAAATCACACATATGGGAGCACTTTAAATTATCAGACGAGCACTTCAAGCGCTCAGTGTAAAATTTGTGATAAGATGTTGGTATACCTTTGAGGCACAACAAGTTTGACGTATCATCACAAATATGTAAGTACAGTGATCCTTATCCGAGTACCGCCAAACGCCCAATCCACACTCCCTCCACCTCAGCTCCATCAGGAAATCGCTTCAGACAGGAATATAAGCGCTCTCTTCTTTTGCAATTAAACTGGTTTACGGCAGGATTAAAACTAGAAAGCACAAACAGCAGATCGGTTTATTTTGTCAAAATCACAATAAGGTTTTAACCGCTGTATCAGAGAAGAGTGTCCTCTACACAGCATAAGGACAGAACAAGGGCAACAAGATTATCATATTTAAGTAAGTTATTATTGTAAATATAATTTCGAACTCTATAAAAAGTGGAAGTGTATGATTTAACTGACTGTTTGTTGTGTTTAAGTGAAAAAAGGCTTGTGTTTTGACAGATGTGAGACTTTCTGTTTCATTAAAAAAAAAACCTTCAACTATTTTTGTTTTTAAGGCTGATTTGAGAATGAGCATTCAGGTACTTGTTTGGAAATATCAATGAGGATTCAAAGCTTGTAAAGTGCTTTTCAGGTCAGCCCTAGCTACTGACTTATTAACTTGTTAATGCAAACAATTTTTTTGTGATAAAAAAAAAAATTGTGATATACACTTCATGGCCAAAAGTATCTAGACACCTGACCATCATATCTATATGAGATTGCTGGACATCCCATTCCAAAACCATGGGCTTTAACATTTGTAAGGTCAAAGAAAGCCTGAGTTGCAAGTGTCCCAATTGATCTCAAAGGTGTTCAGTGGGGTTGAGGTCAGGGTTCTTTGCCGGCCACCGGAGTTCCTCCACATGAAACTCATCAAACCATGTCTTCATGGAGATCACTTTGTGCACAGGGGCACAGTCATGCTGGAACAGGAAAGGGCCTTCCTCAAACTGCTGCCACACAGTTGGAAGCATGTAATAGTCTAAAAATGTCTTTGTATGCAGTAGCATTAATATCATCCTTCACTGGAACTGAGGGGTCGAGCCAAAGCGCTGAAACACAGACATAGACCATTATCCCTCCTCCACCAAACTTGGCTGTTGGCACTATGCATGGCATTTGGCACTATGCATGGCCTACAGCTTCATTGCTGAGATGCTGTTACTCCCAGACACTTCCATTTCACAATAATAGCATCCTTGGTCAATACAGTTGACCAGGATAAATCTAGCAGCACAAACAAAAGTCACAAACTAACTTGCGGCAAACTTTTTTAGTCACTGTTTTAAAGTCACTGTTTGTGGGTCTATGGAGCTTGCATTGCTATGTGCTTGATTTTTTTACCCCTGTTAGCAATGGGTGTGGCTGAAACACCTGAGCTCAATTAGTATGGATGTCCAGACACTTTTGGCCATAAAGTGCATTGAGGAAATATTGTGATACTGTGAAATATTGCGCAACACAGCAGGAACTCAAGTTGTCAGTATATTCATGCCAGTGTGATGAGTTAAAACTCTTGTTAAAACATACGCTGGGAAGAACAACTCTTAACATCTTCCACCAATCAATGAACCTAATTAAGGACTTCTTTGGCAGTGCGACTACTCGGCAGCGCCTGAAATATTTGTATTAATTAGGAGAAAGCAGCTAGTGTCCACACAGCTTGGTAGTAAGAAAATGGAATAATCTAGATTAGTTTGCAGGAGAACATGGTGTTGCATTTAAATACTTGTATGACTGACATTATCTCTGGTTGGCAGCTGGAATCTAATTTACAGTCTCTGGGATACTGCCCAAAACTTCTAACTTAGCTCTTTTGCAATTGTCTTGAGTAGAACAAATGAGCACTTTAGCCCATCATTAAAAAAAGACAGAGTATATAACATGCACTGAAATATATATCCAATCAAAGGTGACCTCAGAAGCTCAGCTTTGACTCTTACTCAATATTTCATCTCCTACTTTGAGCTCCTGTGAGATGAGAGAAGTCAATGTTTTAGCTGCTGGTACAAAGTGGCGCTGAGACAGATGGCACTTTTAAGAGGCGTGAGAAGAGGGAAGTGGGGTGAACTTGCACATCCAAGTTCAGTTGACATAATAAGGTTTCTCTCTATCCACCCGGGGGATCAGTTCACCCCAATTATAATTGTCACACATGCCTCTCCCACTCTCTTTTCCTCTTTTCCTCTCTCTTTGAGCCCGCAGAGTCATACGCAGCGCCTTTATGCTGATCAGGGACTCTGTGTAGTGTATTTAGTCAAAGTGATCAAAATGCAGCCACAGCAGAGGGCCATGATAGCACCTAAAATGATATCCCTTATAATAGCTCCATATGGCTCATCTGAATAAAATGCCCATAAGCTGTCAAAATGCAAAGAGAACGCACCAGGGAGGGAAGACAGGAGGAAGAAAGTGTGAAGTGTGGTAGGAAGACTATGCTGTTTAGTCTTCTGTAGGCACCAAGGTCAAATTCAGACCTGCATCTGGCCAGCCATCTGCTCCGAGGAACCACTGATAGACCCTGTCACTACCATCACTCCTGCAGCCCATCCTCAGGTATATCAGCCTTTGCACGTTTGCATATGTGTCAGGAAACATTTGGCATTGTGGCAAAAGTGCAACACTACGATCGCATTTTGAAGGCATTTTCACAATAACCGATATGTGTATCACAATGTTTAATTAATTCTGAGGTTTCAGAACAAAATGCTGCAGCAAAAAGGTAGCTCTAATTTTACCAAAAGTTTCCCAAACTTCTATGAGTATAGGGCTGAAAGATTTGTGGAAAATAGCTAATTGCGTTTTTTCTGACCACATATTGATTTAAATGCAATTATTTTCTAGCAGTAAAGCTTCAGGCCCTTTTTGCCAGGAAGATCAGAACAGCACTTTTTTTAATGTTTTAAGACTTAAATGTTACATTTTGTGTGCCAGAACGGCAGCTCTGCATCATTAGGTTAAAATTCTTCATTTAAAACTTAAGAAAATGGTTAATCACAGAGTATGTAATTAAAAACTGCAACTCTTTCAAATTGTGATTCCATTCTAAAAACGATTAATCATTCAGCCCTGTACAAGTCTGATGAATTGAATGTTTGCAAAAATACTTTTTAGAAGAAACAGGACAACAGCAAACCAGGCAAGAATACATAAATAAAACAGGATAATAGAATAGTTGGCTGACAGCCAACCTGCAACTTGTGTAGTCTGTTCATAGGCTCTCTATGTATAATTCATATAAATACATCTTTTAATGAAAGATGCAGCTGTGGATGTTACCAACACCTAATTTCAGGAGAATAAAATGTACCAATACATTGTGATGCATTGATCTGAAGGAGGCATTTCTAATCATTCAAATCTTTTATAATGATATTCAGTACAATACGTGTTAATTTTTGGACAAAATTAAGTTCTGCCTAAATGAACTTGAACCATCTTCAAATGTAAAAACAAAAAAAAAATTCTGTTCTGTTTAATGTCTATATTCCACCACTTTGTAAATAGTCCCTACAGTCATAATTATGTACTAAGTGTATTTTTAGTAATGATTTTTGTACCAAATAGTTGAATTGAATTTGAGATTTTATAATGCATTGCGCAATTTCCCAAACAATTGTGATCAAACGAAATCACTGAGGTCAAAACTTGCTGAGATTTTCGTGCTTTTCACATTTGTGTTTTGCTGGTCACCAGTGGCTGTGGGTCCACACAGGCCTCATCAGCGCAGACCTCCAGGCTGATTCTCAGAGGCTCCAGATGAGGTGTGCATTAGTGAGTGTTCCAGTCAAACACTTCCTCTATCTTTTATTCCCTCTTTAGTTCTCCTTCATAGCTCGGCACATGCTTCACAATTCTGTTTTATTCTCCACCATTTCTCTCTGTCTGAATGTCCATCTATACCCCTTCTCCCCATTCTCTTTGACCTCTCTCTCTCTCTCTCTCTCTCTCTCTCTCTCTCTCTCTCTCTCTCTCTCTCTCTCTCTGCAGCGATTTTCTCTGGACACTTTCCTTAGACTGATTTATTTTCAAAAACCAACTTATTTTTGTGGACAGTACATTTTGTATTTGTATTACGCTGTTCGAATCCACATTTTTTTCCCCACACAATGCCCTGAGGTTACCAGCCAGTCTAAGATAATGCAGTTGGCAAAGGCTTCAATTTTCTGCCAAATCAAGCCATCTTTCTTCGCAGAATGCAATTGTATTCCTCCAAGCAAATATCAGCAAAAGTTCAGAGGGTCAAGAGAAAATAAAACAAGTGATTTCGGAGTCTTAGAGTTCAACAAATTGCTTCCCATTGGTTCCTACCTCAACGCTCATCCAATGACACTGCAGGACGGTCAGCACATCACAAAGGTGAGAAGGGATGTGTTTGATAAAGCGCTGGATCCCTCAGGGAAGCTGTGACATTCCTCAGTCTGAGGGAAGAAAAAAAAAAAAGGATTTATCACATAGTTCACAAATGACCAAAAGGGATTCTGCAGTTTTTTCACTGTCATATTATCTTAATTAATAAAAAATAAGGTGTTTCTAGAGATTAATCATTTAATTTTCAATATTGACTGTATATTATGTTGACTGAATACAATAACAAATAAAGCAACATGTCTTTCTGTTTCAGCTCTGTGCCAAGACTAACAGTGAACAGACAACAGTAATAATACTTAGAGAAAACAATGCCTTTGTGCGCAAGAAAATGGAGGCACTGTTCACTTAACATTCATTATGGACAGATTTCCAACCAAATCTCTACAAATCCCATTCCGAGGCTGTCCAAATCTCAGGACATCTCAGAGCGCAATCTGTTCCTTCAATCTGCTGCGTGCGAATGCTCCTCTCTGCCAGTTTCTTTACTTATCCAGACCTGCGTCATAACACTCTCTACTATCTCTCCTGTTTTTCTCTTTCCCCTCTCTTTCTCCTCCCCTTCACTTTCTTTTTCTTCTCTTTCTGTGTCTCTCGGCCACTCTATCTACATCTTCATCTCTGTCTAACGCACTCCTTTCTCAATCTTAGTCTCCAAACCTTTATCAGTATGTCTCTCTGTCTGTTTCTTGACGGAGAACAACAAGCACTAGATTGGCTTACAATGTACGCATCAAACGGTAGACACGTCTTGTCTGGCTTGAGAATAATAGAGGCAATAAAGGAGAAAAATTAATCTAATAACAGCCATGCTTAATATTGTAAAATAAGCTTCAATGTACAAAGTCCCCTCGGGCCAGGTTGAATTAGTTACGCTCTGGTAGAGAGGTCTTTTAATTTGTATGAATTATAGACCACTAGAAAACGTTAAAGGCCTTTTTGCACAACTTAGGAAATATTGAGCAACCTAAGGAGGTGGAAAGGCAGATCACCTGAAAATCCAATATTTGCCAACAGTGACAGATACTGTTCTCAGAACTCATTTGGCGTCCTAAAGCCCTTGGTCAGGGTTAAGGGCTCATACGCTCATGCAAAACACACCGAACTGAAGTGCTTTCGGCATCCTGGGGCATTTTCACAAAGCTCTTCATGGTCCAAGTCAGGATTGAGGTCAATTCCATTTCAATGCAACAAATCCTGGAGCATAACAGAAGTCCAGTCCAAGGCCTTAAATTCACCCACACTTTTTACAGACAACTGCAAAAATCAAATGCATCTCTCAAAACAGGCCTTCTCTGGAACTCGAAATGGAACCAATCCCAGCTCAAAATGGAACCAACCCAGTCTTGCTTCTGGCTCAGTCTGGCTTTTAAAAACCTGAAATGAAACTATCAGCAAGGTTCAGGAGTGATTCTGATCTTATATCGCCACTATCTGGTTTTGTTCCCCAGATGTAGCATGCTTTCTGTAGACAGGTTGTTCTGGTAGGTGGGCGTTCGAGCAGCATTCCTCTGAGGCTTTTAAGGCTGAAAGGAAGATAAGCCCAGGGGGCAGCTGGCTGTCTCCTGCTCCACAGGGTTCGGGTGAACGGAGAGAGATGAGGCCATCACTATTCTATAACTTGTTACTCCATTCTGTTTCTTTCCAGTTTATCTTTCATTGTTACAGGCTTCCCTCTGTAAATGTGTCTTACATTACTGCAGCTAAGAATAGCCAAACGCAGAAAAATGGAGGGACATAACTTGAGCGCATCAGCATCGGCCTACTTGGGGTTCATGTGATACTTCTCAGGCAGCTAGCCAGCGCACCACTATGTTGTACACTATAGTAAAATGGTTCCAGAAGGTTTCTTCATTCTTCTGCATTTCCGTCTACCTCAGAAAATGATACTATCTGTTTGGAATTGAACACACACACACACACACACACACACACACACACACACACACACACACACATACATATATGCACGCAAGTACTATCAGGCTGTCTCAGTGGCATCTTAATTGTTCAGCCTTCAAATGGTTCCCAAATGTCCTGTACACAACCTTCAGGGCCAGAAAATACTACTAATTGTGGAGCAACTAAAACTGTACTACAATCTGATTGGGAAACAGGAGAACAGAACGTTTGGTATATTTTAGGACTTTGGAAAGAAACCAGAAAAAATCTTGGACAGCCCTGATGATTCTGCCAACGCTAATGACTTTTAACATGTTGCATGTGCACGGCGTACATTTCACAGTGGAGATTTCACAATCAAACCTACAAAATGGTTCTCTCATCACTCTTAAAAAATGTGCACTCATTCACAGAGTATTTGCCTCCATCTATTTCCAAGTACAGAACAACAGCAGTTATAACCAAAAGGTTGGAAATAATAAAAAACAAACAGTGTGAAAGGTCTTCTGACTTTTGGGTTTGATGAAAGAGTTCCAAAATAATCGGCTCTGATTATACAAAATAAGAAAAAGAACAAGAGAGAGAGCAAAACAGACAGAGAGAAAGAGAAAGAGCACAAGAGTGAGTGAGTGAGAGAAAGTGAGAGAGAGAAAGAGAACGAGGTTACAGGCTGCTTAGCTTGGCTTCACCTCAGCCCTTTAACAATGTGTTTTGCCATGCAGCACTCAGGGAACATGGCTGCCTTAACGGATTCCTGGAATAATCCTGCACATGTTGGGGCTCCTTTTGTTAGCTGCGGTGTAGATTTGGAGAATAAATATGTCTCTGAGCAGCACTCTGACATGGCAACTGTAGAAAACTTATGCACAGGGCATACTTCTCCTTGGCTCAGACTCAAAAACATATAAAATATACCCAAACCGCGGAAAGCCTGAGGGAGTGTGGCATGTCCGGGGAGAAGAGAAACTCTCTGAATGGCCAGCTGTTTTCTCAAGGAGCTGCTGTAGTTTGATTAAATCAGACGCCAGAGGCAGCAAGACTTTGCAGCTCAGCATCTGGGATAAAGCTCTGAGCCTTATGAGGACCACATAATGAACAACTCACGGCTATTACATAGCTGTACACACACACACACACACAGAAATACACACATGCACACACACGCGCGCACACACACACACACATGCACACACGCACGCAAGCACGCGCACACACACACACACTCTAATGGGTTGTTTTAAAGGAATACTTATGCAAAAAAATTAAATATATACTAAGAATGTGTATTCTGACCAATTTTGATATTGGCATATCCATGAAGGCTAATGAACGGATATTTGGTTAACTGCAGAGAAGGGTGAAGGGAGTGACTGGAGAACCACCCCCCTCACTCACATATCCTTTATCTTTTATATAAAGTAATATATTTTAATCTTAATGATCACAATTTTAAAAATCAACTGAGGCACATCGTCATGTTTTTTATGATATGCAAGTTAAGTTTATTCTGTCATTTTCTGATGTTGGGGCTTGGACATCAGATAACTTTGCTGTATTGTTGTGTCATGATAACCATCTATTAGACCTTGGAGGTTGTTCTGTGCTTTTAGGAGCTGTGATGTTCAGAGTGTTATTGTTGAAGGACTGCAAGACAACAAGTGTCTGAGTGGTATACTGGTGACCTCTCCTCAGTGTGGCCTACACAAGCCTGTTCTACGTGTCATAAGCCAGAAAACTAACTCATCCATATATTCCATTATTTCTTTCCAGAGACCTTACAAGATTTGAGGACTCATGCTGATGTTTTCGAATGTGCTCCTCCTAGCTGTACAATTCAACAGAAGCTCAGTGTAGCTTCATTGTCTGGTATCACCCAGAGAAGGATGGGGCCCCCCCTTTTGAGCCCTGGCTCCTCTCAAGGATGGGTTTGCTCATTGGACTGTGTAGGAGCCTGACTTCATATGCTGTTTTGAGACATTTTTCATGAGACAGTATCCATTACATTCATGTTCTGTTTTGATCCATCTAGAAGTGTGTGTGTGTGTGTGTATATGTGTCTGTGTGTGTGTGTGTGTGTGTGTGGTGTGGGGCGTTGTTGAAGGAATGCAGATTATCTCCTGCAAACACATTGGAATCATTTTAATATAGAATACCTTTTCTTAAAAATGCATTTCTGACACCCAGGAGTAACAGTTCTTTGGCTTTTATGCCTCTGTAAGGCTTGTGGTATGTTCCTTGAGGAGGACAGTGTGGCATGAGATAAGGCCTTGTTTATGCCCATCTCCAATTTATCCTAGCAGACATCACAGCAGCCTATGGTACAGGAGTTGGAACTGGATATTTCCATTATCGTATAACCGGGTGAAAGGTGACCATTTGGGAACCTTCAAGGCCTTGGGCCTGACTGAGAGCGACTCTTGCCAACATCATTAAGATGCGAAGGAGGGACACTATCTTTATTGACTGAATCTCACTAAAGACACTGTGTTCAGTTGTGCTTGAGCCCATCCAAGTTTGTGTTATAAACGTTTTGATTTGTAATGATGAATCAGCAATTGTATGTGTAAACTGACTAATTTACATATCATTTGCATAAAGCTATAACTGCTTTGACCAAGTCTATGTTAGGTGGGGAAGACGCTCTGCGGGTGCGCGCTCTCTCTCTCTTTCTCTCTCTCTCTCTCTCTCTAAAGTTTTAGCCTGCAGATTTTCCTTAGTTAAAAATGTGTGAGGTTATGTGTGTTTGTGTGAATGTGTTAACCTGTTGAAATTCTGCTTCTCTATTTCTATCCATTTTTTATGATATTTTATGATCTGTTTTACTTTTGAAATTCAATAAGTTCTCTTTTTAGTTTTTGGGGTGTATCACATTACAGAAATTATAAGTTACATTACAGAAATGATTAGTTTTTCAAACATTTCTAAATTTTTATCTTAGTCATGCTGTGCTAAATTACCCAACAAAGAAAAACAAAAAGATAAGAAAAAGTCAGCCAAAAACTACACAGGGTTGTTAGGAGGCTAAAAATGTGTTTTATTATTCAAAAACAAACAAGTGAAATCACTGGGTTTTCAAATTGGATAAGTAACAGAACCTGCCTCTTCAGATGAGCTAATGCTAACACTACAGCTAACCAGTACAATGTTAGAT